TTTTTTTTTATCATTAGCGTGATTGTTTTTTTTTTTAATGAATGTTTACTTATGTTGCCGAATTTTTAATATGTAGTGAAATTTTCTTATACTCGAAGTGAAAAATCTTAATTAAGATTGTATTGCGAAATGACTGATGTATGATAAAATCTTTTATTATCTATTTTTTGCGATTTATATTTTGTGGTTATAAGTGCACGGCTAATAGTGACTTTCTTTTGCAATTTAAAATGATTATCTCGGACGGACACAACGCGAAGTGTGATCAAAGTTTTATATTTTAAGTTGTAAATTTAGAGATGACGATATAAAGCGAAATGCCTTCACAAAAATTAAAAATAACGTAATTATAGAAACATAAAAATAAAATATAAATTTTTTTTTTATAGTTTGTAATTATTCTTCTTTTAATTGAATTAACAAAATGTATAAGCTCTAATTGGACGAACATAATGACGCTCTTTTATCTAAAATTTCGAGATTTATCTCATCCCTACCTACACGGTCTCAGTAAATTTTTCAGTCAAGCTTTTGCGTAAAATGCAACATTGTTAAGATAACATTTTGCTTTATCTTAGAGTAATTATATTGTTTAAAAATAAATTTTTGAGAATTTCAAAAAACAAGATATTTTAATAATTCTTCATCGTTGATTGGGAGTTATAGGAAGTTCCGTTGCTGTTTCAGAGTTTTAAACTTTTAATTAAGTCGATTAAGTCCTATACTTATGAGGCCAAAAGAGTTATTAAAATTTAATCTATAGAACATTAATTTGAATTATTATTCAGAATGTTGTTGCTCAAATTTGTTTCAATAATATTAAATGACGCGTAATCCTTGTGACTTTTGTGACTTATCTTGGCATAATACCGCGGTAGTGACGTACAATTTATGACGAAACGGATTTATTATTTAAACTTTTGTTCTCCGCACGAGGTGACACGTTCTATGAACGAACCACCTGTGTTATATTTTTAATGTAAATTCAAGACAAAACTTTACGAGGAACAAAGATGCCGAGATCAATTTACGTGGTCACTTGGAATCGAATACTGTAAAATTGATAACATTGTTATATTATAATATTCATTGAACGAATAATTTTCCGATTTCGGGGAAGATGATTACGACACTGCAACGTAAGGCAGCGCGGGCTAGGACGGTTTTTGCCCAAGTCTAAGGAAAGGACCCAAGAATGGAAAATTCGATGGTTAACGCACGAAGACAAGAAAGTTATTGCCCGAGCTTTACTTATCTACATGAGAATACGAAAGGCGCAAGTCCGTATTCAAGAGGGTTAACTAGTAAAGACGAGGGAACTTATAGCTTGAGTCTTCTTCAACAACCCTTGAACATTGAAGGCGTTAGCCCGAGTTCAAGACGGTCTGTGTGCGGAGGCGGAGAGGGCAATTACTCGAGTCACAATTTTGGAAGCGCCAGGGCCAGTTTGTGTTTTTTTTGTGTCCATGTCCCTGAAATCGGGTAGAATTTAAGCGCGGAAACCAAAAATTATAACAAAAACGATAGTATTAACGAGCAACACCATTTCCATATTCATAAATAAGTAACTTTATTATAAAAAAATAAGGAGTCGTAAAAGGATTAAGCGGTTGGCCGAGTCTGGGACGTGTGAGGAAGAGAGGATATGAGATAATGTGGCAATGAAGGCTCTTGCTGGAGTCAAGAAGACATGAGAACACAATATGAGATGGCGTTGACAAAGAAATCAAAATTATCTCTGTTCAAAAGGGTCAGACGTGGAAGGCATGTTGCTGGAAACACATTATGAAAATTTAAAACTCTGAGAACACGTACTGTAGCAATGGTGAGGTAGGTTCAACCAGAAGCCACGCTATTGGTGTTCAAAATGGGACCTTTCGACATCACTCGCTCCTGAGGTCGTGCAGAATTTGCTATTCTAACGTTGATGATTGCGATAACAATAAAAGTTTCTAAATTGTATACAAAGAAAAAACTGAATTTATGAACAAAAAACGGAATTTCTAGAAATAACTCTCTCTCCCGGTTTCCCTAAATTCAAAGTACGTCCTTCAAAGACAGCAATGCATTTAAAGGGCTATCACATTGTAGTGGTCTGCCTATCCCGTAACGGTATATTTTATAAGGGGAGGGTGAGTGACGAGCAACTTGGTCTTGCTCGTTCTAGTTCACACTTCATCCGGCAACCCTTTATCCCTTATATTTTACCTCTTCTCTGTTTTGAAAAAAAAAAAAAAAAAAAAAAAAAAAAAAAAAAAAATGTATATATATATATGTATACGTGAACAAATAAAACAATAATTTTGTTCTCTTTTAATTACAATTACTTTCCAGACATAAAATTAAATGACGACAAGAATTTTTAAATATGCACTCGTCGAAAATTTTGTTTTGCAAAAACAAACATTTTCTCTATAAGGGGGAAGGTGTAACGAGCGACTGTATTCTCGCTCGACTTTACTTTCGATATCTCGAATTACGATATATCAAAGCGCTAAATTTTAATATTAAAATTTGTTAAGAATTAATTTAACTGTCTCTTAATATTTTATTCTTCTTAAAATAAAACTATTCAGATATTCGTAAAAAGCATGACTAATTTTAAATAATTCCGTCACGCTTTAATTCCTTTCAAACTCTTGTTCCCAAAATGTACAAAATAAACATTTTTCAGAATAAACATTTTGGTAAAATGGCAATAGGAAATACGATCCCAAGTTTCCCTTGCTTTCAAGTTGAAATATAAACCTCAAAAAGATCATAAAAATCCACTTGAAAAGGTTGTTAATTCCTTTTTCTATAGGACACTAAACACGTGTTGACCAGACGCAACTCGGCTCATAAAATATAGAAAAGCCTCAGACTAGGCAAACAAAGAACTTCATGTTCGCGACGACAATTCTTTCATATTATAATTCAAATCCTAATTTAATTAATGCAAAACGTTATTATCATCATCTCTAAATCAACGTTTTATGTATATGGTTGCGTGTATGTATGTATATGTGTATGTGTATATATGTGTATATATATATATATATGTATATGTATATATATGTATGTATGTATGTGTGTGTGTATGTGTATATGTATGCATATATTTATTTACTTATTTATTGATTTGTGTTTATATAGTTAATTTATAATCTTATTGTATAACGTGCGAAATAAGTATATATGGAACTAGATTAATACAGTGAAAATGTATAAATACAGTGCAGTGATGCTGGATACAACATAGAGCAGACTATATACCAGAGCATGCGCAATGGTGATTTCTTTGGACTCGTAGCGAGAGCGGTGTCTCCGCTCTAACCTCACTCCGAAGGGAGATCTTCTCTCGCCTCCGTCCCTAATGGTCGATGTATCTCCGAACTTTTCAATAAACTTATGTGGTTTTAATCTAGAAGTTAGAATGATTAATAATTGATTAATTTATTAATCATTGATTAATTGTCTTCCTTCAAGAGGATTTTCCACTCCGTTTCACGGAATTTACATTTGTTTTCATTTCAATATTCCCGCTTCCTCTCAAGGATTAACACCGAGTAAAACCATCAAATCAAGGTGCGGAATTTACGCTTACGCGTTATTTACGTAACTCCGCTCGTAACATGTCCTTGACTTCAGTGCCCTCTGGTAACCAGAAAGATCCAATAAAATTTTTTTTTTATTTTTTCTTGAAGAACTATTTGTCCTTAATATTGTACAGAAGGTTTCTTTTCTTTAAATAAAGTAATATTTTTATATTTAAAAAAAATGGATTTCCAACTACAATTAAATCAATTTTTAAATTGAATAATAATTCACGTTAAAAATAAATTGTTTAACTATAAAATTAATTTATTTTTCAATTTAATTTAAGTTTTTTCATTTTCAACTTGTAAAATGAACAGTGTTTCATTTTTTCTTTTTTTTTTACAAAAAACTGACTATTTATTCATTTTGAAATTTTGTGAGCTATTTATTCAATTGTTAAATTAAACTTAATAATTAATATTCATAATTCTTTGCACGCAAAATTAACGAAAAAATTGTATTTCAATTAATTTATATTTTAAAAATTTTATTTAATGAAATTACTATTTTGAAAAATTAAAAAATTTAAATTATTAGAGTTACTTTGTAATTCATTTGTCATAGGAAGAGTAATAATAATTTTGATATCTTTGTAATGAAAAATGAACAAAAACGCAATATATTAACTTATATTGAAATGAGTAATTTTTCATTTCAATCTGTTGATTTAAAACTATCAATTAATCTTAATAATTTTGACGTGTTCGGAAACAAATAAGATTCTAGGTGTGACGTCAGAAGCCTGGAGGGACAACAAACAGAAGACACAATGTTATTCTTATGGGGAAGAAAATTAGTTTCCACTTTCATAAATTTTATTCATATTTTAAACATAGAAAACGCTTTTGACATATAATAAAATGAAAATGTGTGTTGATAATTAATTTTGTTATATATTTGATTCAATTGCATTGATAGATTCTCTGAATTCGTGATAAAATATAAATTTTGAGGTTAGGGATGTTTGTTTACTAACTTGAAATCTTTTACTGCTTCGGTAATTCCCATTTAAAATATATATTTTATGTCTTTTTTAATAACATGCATACTGGATATTGTTTAATAATGTTGTTAAAATGTAAAATGTTATTAGTAAACAAACACCCATAACCTCAAAATTTATATTTCATAACGAATTCAGAGAATCTTTTAATGCAATTGAATCAAATATATAACAAAATTAATTATCAACATACATTTTCATTTTATTATATGTCAAAAAGCGTTTTCCATGTTTAAAATATGAATAAAATTTATGAAAGTGGAAACTAATTTTCTTCCCCATAAGAATAACATTGTGTCTTCTGTTTGTTGTCCCTCCAGGCTTCTGACGTCATATCTTGAACTCGAAATATCTCGATGAACTGACACAGTCTAATACGTTTCGGCTTTCTATTAGGGTACGGTCACACTATCTCATGCACTGTGTTGTTCTGACAGTTGGCCAAGCCTCAAAAGAAGAAGAAGAATAACAGTGGCGTAAAAATAACCAATAATTTATACAAGAAGCCATTAAAACAAAACAAGAAAATAATTTTATATAATGGTTTATTTACATTTTCCATCGAATTTAACTGAAGAAGAGTTAATGCTTCAGGCAAAATATAACAAACTAAAACGTAAGGTATGTTGAGAGGTAGGAATCACAATATCCTTTTCATTTTACATTAAAATTAGATTTTTAACAATAGTGTCTTCATTGAATAATATATAAGATATAAATGTAGATATTTAAATATGCCTGTATCCTTAAAAGAATTAAAAGTTTACTAAAATAAATAAATAAAACCCCGGCTTATAAGAGAGGTTATAATTACATGAATTTAGAGGTTATAATTAACTTATAATTGCCCCTTGTCTAAAAATCAATTAACCGAGTGAACAGTTTTCTGATTTTGCTTCCTCGTAGGAAGCTTTATAGTGATGACAATTTTTGAACTTCCTAAAATTAATTATTTTAATAAATTCTTAAGTAATATAGTTATATTTCGACATGAGGAACAAATGTCCGGATGTATGTGTGTGTGTGGATGTTGTGTATAGCATCGCTTCTTGTGTACAAATTATCTCAAACAAATGTTGACGAATCGTCCTGAAATTTTGCATGCTAATTCTACTTACTAATACCAAAAATCGGACACAAGGATTTCCAAAAATATCCACACAATTTTTTTTGGAACCATTTTTTCAAAAAGTCAAAAATACATTTTTTTATAAAAAAGCTTTTTATTATAAAAATTTCACTTTATTTATTTTAAAAACGTACTTTGCGTTAACACGAATATTTAACCTATATTAAGTTCATATTTTACCTAAATTTTTAGATGAAATCATTTTTATTTTTTCAAAAAATTTAAATTTTTTGTTTTTGTTAAATAATTTTTTTCTTTTTTCTTAATAAAAATTTTCAAAAGTTTTACTCCAAATTTTACGACAAATTGCATTCCTTACATAGAAACTAATTGATTGATCTATATATTTTACCTAAATTTATAAAATTAATCGTTATTTTTAACGTAAATAAAAATAAAGTAATAAATTAATAATTATTTTTTATTTCCTTTATTTTATTTTTATTTTGTAATTAAAACTAAAATAACAACTTTAAAAAAATAAAATAAATATCTTTTTTTTATTATTATATTTAAATATTTATCTTCAAATAAATAAAAATATTTTAGAAAGTTTAAAATATCTAAAATAAAATGGATAATAATAAAAAGAATGATTATGGTATGTATTAAATGTGGCATTAAATTTTTAGGAAAATGTTTAGACAAATTTTTAATTTATTGTCAATTTTTTGTTGCCTTCAAAAAAATTTTGGTATCCGATTGTTGACTTGATGAAAGAGAAATTAATGCGAGGAAGCATAATGTTCGTGAAATAAACATCACATTTATGTAATATAAATGTCCACCCCTTCTTGTTTTTTATTATGTTTATGAGTTGACAAAATTTTACTTACTGTAATTTGCAATCAACATTTAGCTTAATGCCTAGGTATTAAGCAACTAGATAAATGACACGATTCTTATTTTTATATTTGCTTGGACTCTATATGTCATTTTAGATTATTGCCTAGGCATTAAGCTAAATGCATAAGGCGCGCTTGGTAAATAGAAAAATGAAGATATATGTAACCGGGTCTGAGAAAACGGTGCTTTCGATCAAAAATAACTTTTCGAGAAAAACGCGTTTAAAGTTTACTAGCAATTAAAATAGATTTCTTAAAATATATTATATTTCAAAGGACCTAGATAAGCGTACCTTATGTATTATATTTTTTTATGCTGAACACGATTTTTATGGTTAAATAATTTTTTGAATAATATTTTTAAAATATAAATTTTTTAAATTTAATATAAACGACTTGCTGATCTCCTAGAGGTCTGAAATTTTGTATGCACCTTCAGAACTGACAACCGCACAATCCATGGTTATTTTTTTACCTGCAAAACCAGATTGCCGATGAAGGGTATACTTAAGGATCATCTCCGAGAATTTAGCTCGAATTTATTGTTAACCCTTTCGCAGTCCAGACCTAAATCTCATAAGTGGGCCCAAAATGTCACTAAATTTTTGGAAAACTAAAATTTGTGCAAACGATTATACTACTATCTCTGAGGTTGCTGATTGCGAATCTCGCATCAGATTTTGAAAATTCAAAATGAAGGATCCAATATGGCGGGCGACTTTTTCAAAAATTCATCGGATTCAATTAAAACTTGTTACTTGGTGGTTTTCTGGGTCGCTGATTACGAATCTCGCATCAGATTTTGAAAATTCAAAATGTCGGATCCAATATGGCGGACGATGAATTTTAGAAAAATTTGCCCGTCATATTTGATACGTCATTATGAATTTTCAAAAAGTGACGTCGAATTCGAAATCAGCGACCCCGAAAAACCTAGAGTAACAAGCTTTAAGTGAATCTGATGAATTTTTGAAAAAGTCGTCCACCATATTGGATCCGCCATTATGAATTTTCAAAAAGTGACATCAGATTCGTAGTCAGTGACCCCGAAAACCCCCCGAGTAACAATTTTGGGACAAATATGTCTGTTTATCTAGCCAAAAATCTGCTTGTATACACGTCATCGACAGTTTGAGACCACGTATTTCATGACGTGTATACACGTCATCGACTGCCAAGGGGTTAATGGTTTTGGCATTCATATTTGGGGCATTCCACGTGACATTTTCATTCATATTTTTTTTTTAATTGGAACAATTTTTTTCGAATTCTATATGAAAACTAATGAAATACGTGTTTTTATTTTATTTTATTAAATGAAAATTACGGATGTTATGAATTTTTCAAAATTAACGTCTTCTTTTGCTACGCGTTTTTCTCCGTTATTATTGACGGATGGAAAAAAATGTACTGTATCAGGGTCAGGGAATTTTTTTCCAGTCAGGGAAAACCTCGAAAAGTTAGGGAATTTTATAAAATATTTTTTCAAAAATTAATTTGCCGTATTAGAATTGTGTAAATTTCAAATGATCAAGTTGACAAAAACTCTGGGTACAGGGTGTCCAGCGGTCAGGGAAATTTTTTAGACAGGCAGGGTGTCTAACGGTCAGGGAAAAGTCAGGAAATTTTTTTGGTCAGGCAAATGTCAGGAAAAAGTCAGGGAACTTTTTAAAAAGTTTCCAAAAATGGACATTTTTATGAATTTTTTAAATTTTTCGGTGCAAGAAAAAGTTTATAATGCTAATAAATAAAATGTTTTTTATCATTAAAATATTTTAATATTTGATACTTTTCATTATTTTTAATATTAAATATTTATTATAGAAAAGTTGTAAAAAGGTTAGGAAAAAGTCAGGGAATTTTTTTTGTACTTGCTGGACACCCTGATATCAAATTTTCATTACAAAACAAAACACTGATTTATAAATACTGTAAAAGGCTAACGTAAACCCAAAGTTTATATTAAATAATATTGAAATATTTTTTCGAATCTTTAATTTTGTTTTATATATTTTAATAAACATTTATTTTTCATTTTATTTGCCAATATTGTTTATATTATATAATTATAAACTATTTAATTATTATTATATTAATAATAACGACATAATTAAGTCTAGATATAATAATATTTATTCATAAATGCTTTAATATTAAATTAAATATTTCATTATTGAATTAAAATATTAATATTTTATCTCTTTTTTCGGACAAATCACAATTTGCCGCCGACTTGTCCCAGTATATAAGGCTGGCGGTGAAATCTCGTCCAAACCTGTTCCCCCACTCTGAGTAGTGATTATTTAAAATTTCTTGTGTTTATTGAAAGTTTAGGTCTCCCTGCACGGTGTGCTTGAACCAAGCTTAAATCAAAGGTCAAGCGAAATGGGATTTTCCTGTTGATTTCAATACTGGGGACATCCCTGAGTATTTTTCAAGAAAAATTACAATAATTGGCGGAGCCGTTTTTAAAAAAAATCAATTTTTGTTTTAAAATTAATCAAATTAAGAAAATATTTTAACCTCAGATCACCTGCAAGAGGTTTTAGAGAGGTCAAGAGGTCAAGCTTCTAACATGACAATTAACAGCAAGATAATTCAAGTTATCGCTCGATGCATAAAAACTTGAAAATCAAAGTCAAAGAGTTTCAATATTTTGTCTCGCATTTCAAAGAAAACAGACTTAAAAATCATACCAAATTTTTTCTTATTCCTTATGACTCCCATAACATAAATTCACTTGAATTTTTGATTTTTGTCAATTTGGTTAATAATAACAAGCTGTCCCCATTTACCCTGAGTTTTCAAATTTTTGGGGTAAATGGTGACAGCCTGTTATTATTAACCAAATTGACAAAAATCAAAAATTCAAGTGAATTTATTTTATGGGAGTCAAGGAATAAGAAAAAAATTTGGTATGATTTTCAAATCGTTTTTTTTCAAATGCGAGACAAAATACTGAAATGAAAAAATAAACAAATTTCAATTAGTTCAACTATTATTTATCTACTACAAATTTTTTTCAAGTTTTTTCATCCCTTAATACAGTAATATACTTAAGGAAAATTTTTACTTAAAATGTTCTTAGAAACTATGCTGTCCCCATTTACCCCATATTTTATGAAATTTTCTAAATTTTGTGGTAAATGTGGACAGTCAGTTTCCTGCGTTTAAAAATTATCTAAATTTGTTTCTGCTGCATAAAATTAAGTATTTTGTTTAAATATTTTAGAAATTATTTTATACAAAAAAACAAAATTTTTGAATAATAATTACAATATTTTTTCATATTTAACAATATCTCTTATAACTTGTTAAATAAAAATCATCTCTACATGCAAACCATTAAATTCACACACTGCAGTTAACAAATGTTCAGCATACTTTGAATGTGTGAATCTTGTGTTTTGTCCAGATAGATTTAAATTAATTTAAATCTATCTGTACAAAACACAAGAATTAAATTAATTTAAATCTATCTGTACAAAACCCAAGATTTAAATTAATTTAAATCTATCTGGACAAAACACAAGATTTAAATTAATTTAAATCTATCTGGACAATTCACAAGATTTAAATTAATTTAAATCTATCTGGACAATACACAAGATTCACACATCACATTCAAAATACACTAAACATTTGTT